TTTTCTATGAACTGTTCAAGCCCTTCATATATGTGGCATATACTATGAAATATATTTAGAAAGCTACTTATTATATTAAACATGGTCATATTACATCAATGAATATATCCCCCTACTTCTCTTAAGTACACACTTGTTTAAAATATAATATATTAATATAATTAAATATAACAATTGGTTCAAATGCTAAAATACTGATAAAACCAATAAGACAGGAAAGTAATTTAAGTTCTTTTAGAAAAATCCAGGATGTGGAAGTGGGGTGAATTCTCTCATTTGTTAAAGACTCCTTAGCTCAGAACACAAAAAACTCATCCAGGTTCAGTGGACTTCTACTGATAAGAAGGCCAAGCTCTTCCCAGGATCAATAGCAGGTTTTTGTTCTCTGTAGACAGTCACCACGACTCTGAACCAACCTGATGGCACCCATCAAGAGCAGCATGCATTTTCTTGAGAACCCTGGGGTTCCAGTGGCTATAAATTGAGCCGTCGGTCAGTAGAATCAACCAGTCTTTCTGAGGGAGGAAGATGAGGCCGTCTGCTTCTAGAAACGTTCTTCTAGAAACCCTCTGGGCGGGGGGCGTTCTGCTCTACCCTGTAAGGTCATGAGGTGGACATGACTTTCTGGCAATGAGTTATGCATTCCCTTGTGACAAAATGAAATGTCGTTCTGCCCAGTGCATTCATCTTTATTTGATTTCCATAGCACACAAATTGAATTATGGTGTATTAAAGTGATATATCAAACATTTTGGGGTGTTTAAAACCACTTGTTTTGTTCTGATGTTTCCCCTCCAAATATGAACCATTTTAAAAGTTTTTATCTTTCTGTGAGCTTGGAAAGAAGGGATAATACAGGGTCTCAAGAGGAATGCATAAGAGCATAACTTTGGTATTAATAAGGAAAGGGCTATGTTCATTTATATATCAGAGTGGCTCTTTTCCAGCATTAAAATCCCTGGGAAAAGTAGGTTATCAAATTCTAGGTCCACCCACAACCAAGTGAACAGCCAGGCCTGAGCTCTGTGTGGAGCATGAGGCTGGACGCTGAGCCCACACAGAGCTGTGAAGATTTCTTTCTCTTCCAGGCCCCGCATCATTATCTGGACTCCCCGCCGCTCTTCCATTATAGGTGTAAGGAGCATTTCAATCTCTGGATTGTGCCTTCGTAGTTTTTCCCATGGTAACAAAATGATGATGTTTAAGGCTCTTTTTCTTGCAGTGGAAGTGTGTTCCAGGTACAATAATAAACCTTCCAATGGCTGTCTTTTTTTGATGCTTATCAATTGTATGCAGCAACTCAGGAAAAGTGAATATCACCTAGCATAACAGGCAGTGTAACGCCTTGAGCTGCTAACTGCATGGTGAGCAGTTCAAACCCACCAGTCACTCCTCCAGAGGTCTGTTCCTGTAAAGAGTTAAAGTGTCAGAAACCCCAGGGGGCAGTTCCACTCTACCTTATAGGGTGGTTATGAATTGGACTGGGCTCGATGACAGTGAGTTTGTTTTCAGTTATGAGTGGGAGACCCTAGGTGGCACAGTGATGGAGAGCTTCACTATGATCCAAAAACAAGATATTTGAATTAAACGATCGATAATATCATGCAACAAAACAAAGTGAAAATGGTATGGCCGTCTACTTTTGAAACGACAGCAGCTCTGTGGGAGAAAGACTGGGCTTTCGACGCCTGTAGACAGTTATCATCTCAGACACTGACAGGGGTAACGATGAGTCAGCCTGGACTCGATGGCGCTGAATTGGTTTGGTTTTTCTTTAGTGACTCATGAGGATCACTCATATAGGTCACCTTTTGGTGTACATAAATCAGAGCTAACTGGATAGGCACCAACAACAAGTAATTTATATTTAATGTGATTATTGATCACACTTCCTTGATAGCTCGCACTTTGATATTTGTTTTCTATTTACCTTACCTGTTCTTTGTTTCTCTTCATTTTTATCTTCTCTTTTTGAAAATTGTGGGGTTTTTAAATGATTCGTGTTGTCCGCAGTGCTGGGATTATCCATTTACTCGTTGCTTGTGTGTATGTGATTGCTTTAGGGGTTTTAGTGTGCATCCACTGTGCGTCGTGGTCTACATTCCAGTAGAACTGTCGTGGGAGCACTAGTGGGTTATACTAATGGTTGGTGGTTCCCTCCCAACAAACCAGAAGAAGGCAGTTTGGTTCTGTAAAGAGGACAGGGAAGCAAAGTCTCCTGTAACACATGGGCTCACCGTGACGCAAAATCGACTTGACATTAATGGATTTGGGTTACTTTCAAGGACTATGATGCCATTTCTCATAGAGGATAAAAACCTTACAACAGTTTATTTCTGTTTCCACTCTCATAGTGTTTTCACTCTTTCCCCCCTTTGCTTTTGCCCCCATTATTTTTCTACTATGTGCTATTGAAAACCCATACTACATCTTTGGGTGTCATTTTCCTTGTGCCTGAGGTACTTGCTTTAACCTTTCTGACAAAACATCATTGAAAATATATTGATTTCGTTGTTTCCATTTTTTAAATGTTTATTTTTCCAAATATTTTTACTTTACTAAAAAAAAACTCGGATAAAACTTTGCTCCTAAAGATAATAATTTTAGTATAGGTTTTTCCTAAGAAAAAATATGTGTCAGGTATCAGGCATCAAGAACAAAAAATCATATCATTGGAAATGAAGGGTAGTGCAGATTGGGGACCCAAGGCCCATCTGTAGGCAACTGGACATTCCCTTACAGAAGGGTCATGAGGAGGAGACGAGCCAGTCAGGGTGCAGTGTAGCAACGATGAAACATACAACTTTCCGCTAGTTCCTAAATGCTTCCTACCCCCACCACCTCACTACCATGATCCCAATTCTCCCTTAAAAATCTGGCTAGACCAGAGGATGTACACTGGTACAGGTAGGAACTGGAAACATGGGGAATCCAGGACAGATGATCCCTTGGTGAGAGGGGCGATACTGGGAGGGGGAAGGGAGGGTGGGGTAGAAAGGGGGAACCGATTACAAGGATCTACATATAACTCCTCCCTGGGGGATGGACAACAAGGAAGTGGGTAAACGCAGACATTGGACAGTGTAAGATATGACAAAGTAATAATAATTTATTAATTATCAAGGGTTCTTGAGTGAGGGGTGAGCAGGGAAGGAAGGGAAAAATGAGGAGCTGATACCAAGGGTTTAAGTAGAAAGCAAATGTTTTGAGAATGATGAGGGCAACAAATGTACAAATGAGCTTGACATACAATGGACGGATTATGGATTGTGATAAGAGCTGTATGAGCCCCCAATAAAATGATTTTTTAATGTGCACATGAATAAAGAAAATTTTCTAACACCCCCTCCCAATATGTATCCGTTTCAGTACATCAAAGATGTTGCTCCACTGTGTTATCACTTGCATAGTTCCCATGAGGAAGTCTGCTGTCGTGTTTATTTTCTTCTTTTTCTCCTCTAGTTTTATTCTCTCCCACTTCACTTACATTCAGCAACCTGAATATTGCCAGGCTTGGTTGAAGTTCCCTTTTTTTTTTTTTTTGCATTTCAGACTCATAAATTGAGGAAGTGAATTAAGTCAATCCTAGGGGTCATCGTTTTCTATTGTTCCTCCTCTCTGGGGTCACTCCTCTGCTTTGCCTGCTGTCTACTGTATGGAAACCGTTGTTTCATATATTTGGCCTGTCATTTCTTTTGTTCATTTAAATTGCAGAATAAATATAATTTCTATTATTCTGTCTTGTCTGAAACAAGTCCTCCATTTAAATTAAAAAATATGTCTTTCTCTTTTCCTCCATCAGATATGTAGAAATAGTTTAAATACAGATCTTCTAACAACTAGAATTGGACAAATTTCAGGACATTTCAGTTACCTATAGATTTGCTAATTTTTACCTCAAATAGTTTTGTACATTCTAATGGGTTACATAAAACTTGACAGAAATTTTAGGTTTCACTATTATTTTATTATTCTATAGTCAATATATTTCAATATCTTCATAATTGTTTTAAAAATGAGTTTGGTCATCCTCAAGCTGATGGAATGTGCTTTAATAGAGAGCATGCTAAAACTTCGCCTATGTCAACAGTTTTAGAACTTAAATACTTTTTATTGTCCATGTACACCTATGACTAAGAGGAACAGATATTTCACCCTAATGGTTCCTGACTTTGAATAAACATGAAATATCATAGAGGTATATATTTAATAAGTTTAAGTTGTATTTGGTAGTTATAATTACTTTTGTGCTATCAATCTTGGACCTGCATATATTAAATGCAATCCTCTTCACAGCTCACTTGCATCAGCCCTGTCCCTCTTAACATTCCTTTCAATTTCTTTATCTTAAAATGTGCTCTGATTTGTTGCTTTTTTATACTGTAAGGGTCATATTTCAGGCATTGCTAAAATAAAATTAAATTGTGATGAAGAATAAATAGCAGGCCAGATGTCTGGTGACACACTAACTAAATGTCGACACTCTAGTGACCCCAATCAAAGAGAGCAAATAAAACAAAAGATCAGCATATAGGGCTTCATGCACATCATATGATCAGTCATGACAGCAGGGAATGGTAAAACCTGGTGAAATTAACAAAATGATGGCATCAGTGATGACAAGTAGCAACAGATGTTTGCTTCTGGCAAAATGAGATTCTGAGATGGTTTTCCAAAGCTCTGAACATGTATCAGCTACCAAGTATACCTATGAACTAAATTGTCCATAAATTGTATAGATAAATGGTATATAGAGAATATGAAATATTATATTTTTAAGGTAAAGAGACAAATATATAAAATGAATCATATAATTGAGGATGTTTATAATTGGATGGATAATAATGTTTTGTCTAATAATTTTTTAAAACTTTATTGAATATAAACCTTGACTTATAGAATTAGTTTATTAATTGAGTTAGTGTTTAGTGTTTATTATTTTCTCTCTTTTTTTTACTTATGGTTTTATTTAACACAAATAAAACTTGCAAATGGGCCATCTACTCATTTTGTTCACTGCGCAGCCTGGCGTTGGGATTGGTGACTCTGATGGCCAGCTGGGCTGCTCTTTCTACAATGGCTTTGCAATTCTTGGAGTAAATGTGAGCAATCTCTGCACAGTAAGACTTGTTGCACATCAGCAGCACTTCCAGCTCCTTGATGTTGTGGACCAGGAACTTGCAGAAGCCACTGGGCAGCATGTGCTTGATTTTCTTGTTGCTCCCATAACCAATGTTGGGCATCAAGATCTGGCCCTTGAATCTTCTCCGCACCCTGTTGTCAGTGCTTCTGGGCTTGTGCCAGTTGTGCTTAATTTTGACATAGAGGCCGGATTGGTGCTGGATGAACTTCTTGGTCTTCTTTTTTACAACTTTAGGTTTCAGCAAGGGTCTGAGGGCAGCCATGATACCAGTGGGAGATGGCTGCCTAGTGTTAATTATTTTCAATAATTTTGTAAAACAGCTAGACACATAAGACATTAACTTTAGAAGCAGACTATCTTACTTTAAATGTTAGCTCCCATTGTAACTAAGATATCTAGAAAATTATATAAACTTTCTAACTATGCATGAATTTATTTCTTTTGGAAAGGGGATACAACTAGTATCTACTCTAGAAAGTTGGTATTAAGATTTGCTTAGTTCCAGACCCACAAAGCTCTTGGAGAAATCTGTGATGTGTTAGAGACATTAAATAGAAATCAGATTATAGTAACAATATTTCTATTGATTTGTTTATATACTTCATATTACTTATATACCTTTTCCTACTCTAACAACATATATTCTTGCATTAATTGTTTCATCTATATTAACTAGATATTAGGCATTCTGCAAAGTTTCCTAGTATCAGTTGACTTTGATGAAAATAAAAGATTCACTTTTGATTCACAATTGGCCTCATGATACCTGTATTAATCCAGCCTTCATCCATCTGCTCTGGAGATCCTCTCTATCATTGGCTTCAGTCATTAATTTGATTATATGGCTTGGCCCAGTAGCTTATTTATCTATATTTGCCCCTGATAAGCTGTTTTTGTTGTTAGATGTTGTCAAGTTGACACCGATTGAGACTGACATTATGTGCAAAAGAAAGACTTATTGCCTACTTCACACTTGTTATGTCTGAGCCATTGTATCCATCCATATCTTCAAGGATCTTTCTCCTTTTTGTGGAATCAACTTGATGGCAGCGAATTTTATGTTTGTTTTTTTTTAAACCGCAACACACTTTTGTAAAACTAACCATTGTAAATAATTCAAATGCCCATGAAAGTGGGTGAGATTGATGCAAAGTCAATAAGTATAAGTATTCTATAATTATAAAAATAAGGAGCAAATCTATATACCAATTAAATATACAGTACTAAGTGTATATACTATAAATATTTATATATTGTAATAAATTAAAGGGCAGATTAGTATATATAACTTTTTAGTATGTGCAAGGAAAAATTAAACGTAAGAGAATAGGAATATTTATAGGCCTTTCTTTGGTTTTGAAAAATCATAAATGCTGAATCTAGAAGATATTTGAAATCTTAATTTACAATTGTTTTAATTACCTACAGGGAAGGAGGACTGGAAAAGCATAGGAATTAAAGGATTCTCTTTATACACCTTATTTTGCAATTTTGAATGTGAGATATGCAAGTATTTCACTTAAAAGTTCAACTATTAAGAATGGAAGCTGGAGACAAAATTAACATAAGACAAAACAAAATCGCACACACACACATCACACACACAAAATTAAGCTGAAAAAACACATTACATGAATTACTTTTACATCTGTAATACTCCTACTTGAACTAAAAATACTTAATGCTATCCAGTTGGTTTCAACTCCTTAGGAGCCCATGTGGAGTTTCAGAGACAGGAAATCTCTACTTCCTCTCACTGCCATTGAGTCAATGCTGATTGGTAGCGACCCAAAGTTTCCAAGACAGTAACTGCTTACCGGAGTAGAAAGCCAGGTCCTTTCCCCACAGAGCTGTTGGTGGTTTCGAACGGTGACCATGTGGGTTGCAGTCCAACGCATAATGACCATACCACTAAAAGGAAACATATTTCTCTTCTGGAAGGTTTGAACTGCAGCATTTAAGGTTAGCAACTCAAAGTTTATCCCATAATGCCATAGGCCTCCTTCATGTTAATCGTTAGTAGCACGTAGAAGGTCACAATGAGTTAGAATCGGCTCCATGGCTGTAACTTGGGTTTGAGTTCTCACTGTAAGAATGGGGGGTGGAGCAGGGGACGACGACAAACAAACAAACCTGAAAGTACATAGGGTAGTATCACTCTTTGAAGTATTGTATATAATTTTTATAATTTTGAATCCCTTTGAAGTATAGGAAAAAGTCTTTAAGAAATATTAGTAGTAAGAAAAAAGCATAAAACAAACATAAGATCATTTTTTTCTAATTCCATGAAAACTCATGGAATTATATGTCTTATATTAAAATATGTTATGTTTCATATCTATGTCCCAGTTATGCATATTCTAAGTACATGGAAATCCTGATAATAAAAATAAAAACCCACTGTTATGGGGTTAATTCCTACTCAGTTACCCTGTAGGACACTGTAGAATCTCCCAGGGTTTTTGAGGCGCCCAGGGGTTTTTACGTTGTAAATCAGGAAGTATACAGCTCATCTTTCTTGTTCAGAGTTTCTCGTGGGGTTGAACTGCCAGTTTTGCAGTTAGCAGCCCAATGCTACTTACTGTGCCAATAAGGATTCTCAATCCAATAATACCCCAGTAATATAAGGAAACCCATCAGACAAATCATGATTTCTAAATACAATTCCCCACTAACAAGATCCAGAGGTGCATGGTCAAAGGGTAGAGCCTTGCCTTGCTCTAGGTCTGTACAAGGTGACCCTATCACACATTCTTTTAGAAACCCAGGATTCTCAGACTGCTGAGGGCATGTTGATACTGTGTTTCTCCAAAAATAAGACATACCCATAAAATAAGCCGTAGCAGGATTTCTGAGCATTTTCGCAGTATAAGCTATCCTTTGGAAATAAGACATAGTGATAGGCGTGGCTCTGCAGCGTACCAGCGTGGAGCGGTCACGAAGACGGGCAGCCCTTCTTCTCTGCCCCATCGTGACAGCTGCTCTCTCAGAGATGACCGGAGAGGTGCAGCAGGCAGCCTCATCAACAAGGTCGGCTCTCCCTGACAGATCCCGGCCGTTCTGTGCACGCTGCAGGATGAGGCACAGAGGGAGACACAGACAGTCAAAGTCAAAGTCTCCTCCATGGAGTGAGGAGCAGGTCACTCTGCTTTAGGTATCGTGCGTCCTCAGGGGGAAGAAGGAAAGCTGGGGCTGCTGTTGGACTCAGCACGGTGGGTCAATGTTCCAGAAGAAGACAACTTCACTATGTTTGAATAAATGTAGATTGTTGTACCATGCTTAATGAAAACAAGACATGCCCTGAAAATCAGCCATAGTGTGTCTTCTTGAGGAAAAATAAATATTAAGACAGTGTCTTATTTTAGGGGAAACATGGTAGTAGGAGGCAAAGCAAACATACAGAAGAGAGAAATATAAAGAACACAGGAAAAAAAGGCATGGAATAAGACAGGGGAGAACTTGTCAAGCAACAAACTACAGTAAAAAATTTCCTGCTACATAAAATGCAAATATTGCAATGCGTACTATGTTCTAAGGAGCCCTGGTAGTGCTGTGCATTAGGTATTGATCTAAGGTCACTGGTTCAAACCCTCTAGCCACTCTGAGGAAGAGCAATAAGGTTGCCTGTATCTGTAAAGGTTTACAGTCTTGGAAACCCTATATAGATAGAACCACAAAGTGGTGAGTTGCAATCAACTCAATGGAATTAGGTGGTTTTGTTTGTTTGCCTTTTGCTTTTGTTTGATCTAGTTTTAGTTTATGATGATCGCTGGTGGCATATGGGTTCAAATTATGCCACTGCTAACCAAAAGGGGAATGGTTTCAACCTTTCTCCCTGGGAGAGAGATGTGGAGATCTGCTTTTGTAAAGATTTAGAGCCTCAGACATCCTATGTGCACTTATACTCTGGCCTGTAGGGTCACTGGGAGTTGGAATCAAATTGGCAGCTATAGAATGTTTTGGTTATGTTTATTATTAGTTACTGTCATTAAATATGTTATTCTCTTAGTCTATATCTTCAGTGGCGATGGCACAAAGGTACTCTGTAAGCCAAACAGCTCTTTAACAACAGTCTCCTTCAGGTGGGTTCTGAGAGTCCCATGTCAACTGATGTTAGAGCAAGCAATGCTTTAATAGACTAGAGAACCCTGAAGGCATAGTTAATTACATGTTGAGCTACTAACCGCAAGGTCATCATTTCAAAACCACCAGCTGCCCCGTGGGAGAAAGAGGAGGCTTTCTACTCCTGTAAAGAGTTAGTCTCAGGAACCCACAGGGATAATTCTACTCTGTCCCACAGCATCACTATGAGTTGGAATTGACTCAATAGCTGTGAGTTTGGTTTATTGTTTGAGGGATAAAAATTTTGACCCAAGTTTTGCAACTTTGCAGTTGAATTTTTATAAAAAACTTCTCATTTTAAGAACTTTCAAATGGCAGTAATACATACTTTTTGAGTGGAAAAGCATGCTAGTCTACACTATTTTTTAAATTATTTTATTGGGGCTTATACAACACTTACCACAATCCACACACACATCAATCGTGTAAAGCACACGTATACATTCCTTGCCCTCATCATTCTAAAAACTCACTTTCCATTTGGGCTCCTGGAATCAGATCCTCATTTTCCTTTTTTCCCCTCACCTCCCTCCCTGCTCCCTCCATCCCTCATGAACCCTTGATGATTTATAAATTATTATTTTATCTTATCTTACACTGCCAGGTATCTCCCTTCACCCACTTTTCTATTGTCCATCCCCCAGGGAGGAGGTTATATGTAGATCTTTGTGATCGGTTCCCCCTTTCTACCCACCCTTCCCTCCTGGTATCGCCACTCTAACCACTGGTCCTCAGGGGTTCATCTGTCCTGGATTCCCTGTGTTTCCAGTTCCTATCTTCACCGCTTTGCATCCTCTGGTCTAACCAGGTTTACA